GAGCTCTGGGAGGGGTGGGGGTCAGGGTGGGGATGAGGGTGGGGGAGGCTACACCGTGCTGGGCCTGCTGGACTCCCACCACATCAAGGAGGCCGGTGACGCCGAAAGCCAGGTCTTCTACCTGAAAATGAAGGGGGACTACTACCGCTGCCTGGCCGCCGTGGCCACCGGCGATGACAAGAAGCGATCATCGACTCTGCCCAGGAAGCCTACCAGGAGGCCATGGACATCAGCAAGAAGGAGATGCCGCCCACCAACCCCATCCGCCTGGGCCTGGCCCTGAACTTTTCCGTTTTCCGCTATGAGATCGCAAATAACCCTGAGAAGGCCATCTCACCGGCCCAGGACCACCTTCGATGAGGCCATGGCTGACCTGCACACGCTCAGTGAGGACTCCTACAAGGACAGCACCCTCATTCTGCAGCTGCTGTGAGACAACCTGACTCTGTGGGCGGCGGACAACGCTGGGGACGAAGGGGGCGAGGCACCTGAGGAGCCCCAGAGTTGAGCTACGCTGCTACCCTCCCTGCCCTGCCCATTCCAGCCCCACCCACCCCCAGCAGAGAGGACTAGAATGGGGTGGGAGGCCCAACCCTCTCCCTGAATGCTCTGCCCCAGCTCAGAGAGGCTCCATGGAGAGGGACCAGCAGAGCTGAGGCCCCCGAAGCCATTGTATCCCACTCTTCCTGTAGCTATTGGGTTCTCCTAACCACTGGTCATTACACCCAGCCCTGCTCTGCACCCCCTCCAGACCCTACCCATGAACTGTGAACCTGGCGACTTCTGCCTCTTCCCCGCCTTCTTGACTCCCTCCTGCCCCTGCTGCCTCTGGATCTTAGGAATTGAGGAGTGTCCCACCCAGTGGCTGAGAACTGGACCCCATGGCAGAGGCTGGAGATGAGAGTGAGGTGAGAGAGAGAGAGAGAGAGAGAGAGAGCAGAATGAGAGGGAAAACATGTCTGCTGGGATTGACCATGTTTCCTCTCAATAAAGTTCCCCTGTGACAAATCCCGCTTGTCTTTTCCAGTTATTGGCGGTGGGCTGGGGCTGGGGCTGGGGTATGATTTACAGAAAGCCTGACTTGGCACCTCTGACTGAGGCCCGAAGACAAGAAGCGCATCATCGACTCTGCCCGGTCAGCCTACCAGGAGGCCATGGACATCAGCAAGAAGGAGATGCCGCCCACCAACCCCATCCGCCTGGGCCTGGCCCTGAACTTTTCCGTTTTCCACTACGAGATCGCCAACAGCCCCGAGGAGGCCATCTCACTGGCCAAGACCACCTTCGACGAGGCCATGGCTGACCTGCACACGCTCAGTGAGGACTCCTACAAAGACAGCACCCTCATCATGCAGCTGCTCCGAGACAACCTGACTCTGTGGACGGCCGACAACGCGGGGGAAGAGGGGGGCGAGGCACCAGAGGAGCCCCAGAGCTGAGCCGCG